TATAGTCTGTATTACAGACAACATTACAGGCTGCGTTATAGGCAATGTTACAGGGTGTGTTATAGTCTGTATTACAGACAACATTACAGGCTGCATTAAAGGCTGCATTGCAGGCTATGTTACAGGCTATATTACAGGCTACATTAAAAGTAGTATTACAAGCTGTGTTACAGGTCGCATTACAGGCTGGGTGTTTTGACTGCAGGCTTCACTCTGTGTGTCTCCCAGCACGTGGCTGCCAGCTCAGGCAGCAGTCAGGCAGATCTGGAGAAACTGTACAGAACCCTGGAGGAGATCCCCCTCGTCAAGTACATCTGCCTGGACGTGGCCAACGGCTACTCAGAGCACTTTGTAGAGTGTGTCAGAGGTGTCCGAGCTAAGTTCCCCAACCACACTATCATGGTGAGTGCCTTGCAGTGTGATTCAGGTTATTGTGATGGTTTTAATCCATGTGATACCTGCATTTGAACAAGTGGAATTACCTTTCTGAGTTTTTCCTGTCTCCCTCCTCATTCCTGGTTCTTTCTCCCTGGGATCGGGCAGGCTGGGAACGTGGTGACTGGAGAGATGGTTGAGGAGCTCATCCTGACCGGAGCTGACATCATCAAAGTGGGCATCGGCCCGGGTGGGTGAAGTCACGGAGTCACAGAGTCACAGAGTCACAGAGCAGAGCTCCGCCACTCGCTCTAACATGCACTCACCTGGCTTTGCTGGCCTCCATCTGGCTTCTCCTGTTTTTGGCCGCTGTAGGTTCCGTGTGCACGACGCGCATTAAGACAGGCGTGGGGTACCCCCAGCTCAGTGCTGTCATCGAGTGTGCAGACTCCGCCCATGGGCTCAAGGGACACATCATATCGGTGAGGTCGCTGCGAGGCTGCATCCTGTCACCATTTCATCTTCCATAACCCCGCAGCATGCACAGGGCACAAGATTGAGCGGATTCAAAGACATTCACAGACCTAAGAGGGCATTCACAGCCATTCACAGACCTCAGAGCGGATTCAAAGACATTCGCAGACCTAAGAGGGCATTCACAGCCATTCACAGGCCTCAGGGGGCATTCGCAGACATTCACAGACCTCAGAGGGCATTCACAGACATTCACAGACCTCAGAAGGCATTCACAGACATTCACAGACCTCAGAGGGCATTCACAGACATTCACAGAACTCAGAAGGCATTCACAGACATTCACAGACCTCAGAGGGCATTCACAGCCATTCACAGGCCTCAGGGGGCATTCACAGACATTCACAGACCACAGAGGGCATTCACAGACAAAATTTTATTTATTAATACTTCTGTTCTCGGCATGACCTGCATCCTGCAAAACATGATGTTCCTTCTTGCAGTGATAAATGGTTTCATACATGAACCAGGCATATAAGCTCACTTAAGGTTCCCCAAGAGCAAAGGGGGATTGGCGGTGCTTCATGAGACCTCTCTGCTTTTCAGGATGGGGGCTGCAGCTGTCCGGGTGACGTAGCCAAAGCATTCGGTGAGTCAGTCACTGTGAGATTAAAACGGGCTCTGCTGTCACGTCAGACACTCAAAACAGTTCGGCGCAGGAATGGCGATCCAGTTATCAATGAGAAGAGGACATGCCGGCCCTGTCGCTCAAGAGGAATAGAGACGAGATGTGCTGGAGCTGGTGGTGGGATGCAGACAGTGCGACACGAGACGTCATGAGGCTGCGATCACAGCTCAGCTTTTGTGGAACCCTCGTCCTGCATTGCAGTCTGAGCGCAGAATAGATCCATCAAGTGCATCAACGTGACAGTAATTTGAATGAGGGTAGCTGGGGCAGATCAGTGTCTAATTGCCATCTGTTCACAAGGAGCACAGTGAGAGGTCCCTGCCAGGGGCACACTGGCATTGTCACCAGTGTGAGTGGGGGCACAGTCCCAGCTGTCACCTTAATTCATTTCAGAGCACTAGTTATTGCTTACCTTAAGACCTTAAAAACTGAATTAGGACTAGGTTAATCTCTAACTAAATGATTAGACTGATCACTTACTGCACTGGAACTAAGATGTTTTTGGACTCTTTCCCATGTTTCCTTTGATCTGGAAATGGCCGATTAATCCCATCATATGTCTCCCAATCACCAAGCGGAACTTGTGCCAGCCGGAGAGGGGTGATAACTGGCACGCGCCCCCTCCGACGTGTCCCGTCAGACACCCGCTTCTCCTCACCCCACCAGCTGCGAGCCTCATCAGACAGGCCAACATGCCAGGAGAACAGCGCCATCCGCGTGACTCCACCCCCAGCTGATCGCGAGACATCGCCGCAGGGCAATGAGCGCCACCTAAACCACCAGGGGGCATATCTGAGCTGGTCTGAGGTCTCCATAACACTGCAGGGACAGCAGCTGTAGGACACTGTTTGGACTGAATGGTGCTCCACAGCAGAGATGCTGAAAGCTGCAGGGAGAAACCCTGTTAAAGACCCTCTGAGTGGTCTGATGTCCTGTAGAGGCTGTCTGGGGTCACGGTTCTGTTCAGAAATTTAAATTAACTTGCATAATTACTATTAATTTCATTTAGTGAAAAGATGCACATTAAGATAAATCTGACTGCTCACCAACACATCAGCTGGAGTGACTGTTAGAACTGAGGCTGCTCTTAAAGGTAGTTCTGGATCTAGGTTTGGTACTAACTGGTTCTGCGACGGGCCCTTGAAGTAACCACATGGTAACAGGTGTTGCTTCATGTACCTACAGGCGCTGGGGCAGATTTCGTGATGCTGGGGGGGATGTTTGCGGGTCATGACCAGTGTGCGGGCGACATCATCGAAAAGAATGGCAAGAAGATGAAGCTGTTCTACGGCATGAGCTCGGACACGGCCATGAAGAAATACGTGGGGGCGGTGGCGGAGTACAGGTGAGCGAGCCTGGCGCTCCCTCGGGTGCGGTCGGGTTCAGGCAGGCTGGCACCGGCTCGGGCAGCTCCCAGAATGCCCGGCCGCTCATCGCCTCACTTCCTGTCAGAGGTGCCCTCGGTTCCTGTGTCGATATTGTGCCACGCGCTCCCCTCGGAGACGGGTCAGTGGTTCTGGCCATCTGCTCCGGCAGCTGCTCTCTCGAGCCGCTCCCCGCCTCCTTGGGCAGGTCGGTGAAGCGGGTTCGTGTGCTCGAGTGTCCCAGTCACCTGCGGGCGGGCGGCGCCCAGAGGGTCATGGCCTCAGCCTGTGTACACAGACAGGCAGCAGTGCTGTGGTGTGGCTCAGACCGTCCTTGTGCTTGCATTCCTGTCCCAGGGCCTCGGAGGGAAAAACGGTGGAGGTGTCCTACAGAGGGGACGTGGAGAACACTATCCGGGACATCCTGGGGGGGCTGCGCTCCACCTGCACCTACGTGGGGGCCATCAAGCTGAAAGAGCTAAGCCGCAGGACAACCTTCATCAGGGTCACCCAGCAGTCCAGCACCATGTTCTCCTAGTGCCCCCTGACAGACGGACCCGGCAGGCTTTCTGGGTCGGTGCTGCCTCCGCCCCGGGGTATTCTGGGCCGGCTCCTGGTAACAGTGGCACGGAAAGGACTCGACACATGAACTTTACAGGGCCATACATATTTCTATGAGTATTTTTAGATGTTTTTATCGTTTATTAATGTTTAAAGCTGCTACAGGCATTCTAAACGTCCTCGTTTATGTGATATAAGAAGCCCTGTCAGAACGGGAGTAAATAAACAGGTCTTCTGCCCTCCCTGTGGCCACCGATTGGTGTGACGTCATGCCAAAGACGCTGCGGGATGCCGCGCAAAGTGATACCGAGTTTCCTTAGAGGCAGAGGGCGCTGTTCCTCACCAAAAACGTAAGAGAGCTGCCAGCTGGATGCCATCCTGATGGGGGCGCTCCACAGTCTCTGTACTGAAAAAGGTCATTTTCATTTCCCTACAACAGAAGATGATGTGAAAACACACTGCTTATGGCTGTTCCTTCTTTTAAAGCCTGGCGGCTTGGCATTACGGATGGGGCTGTACGTCTGAACTGAGCTGCAGAGAAAGCAGCCGTTTGTTCACTTAAATCCTGGACATCTGTGGGTTTCTAAGCGCAGCTAAAATGAAAGACGGGGGGAGGGGGGGAGCCACGTGGAAGGTGTTAATTGGCTTTTATTTACTGTGCACACGGCGGCTTCCTGAGTGCCGTCTAGCCGCACTGCTGCTGGTTTTCATAGCTTCTGCACAGAAATCCCATCCTCGCCATTCACGCCAGAGATTCGGACGCTATTTTTAAACAGCGCCAGCTGCAGGATGTGTCCAGGGAATTCACGGCGAACTGTACCCCTCCTTGGTGGGGGGGGGTTGGTGTTCAGGGACATGCAGCATAGGGACACTGTGGAGCTTTGGGTATAAATTGACCATTAGATATGGTACATATATTCAGACACGTATTTTATATATATATATATATATATATATATATACACACACACACACACACACACACTGGGACCCTTATATACTGCCTGTATGCTTCATTGATAATATATTAAAACAATGACATGTATAATATATAAGGGTGGCAGTGACCCTGTAGCAGCATGAGGCCGGGGGACACTGCGGATCGGATGCCAATTAATCACAGGACACCACACTCAGAATGGGTCACATGCGGGTCAGGTCTCTGTGCCAGTGATCAGAAGGTTGTTGGCTCAAATCCCCTGGCCGGCAGAGTAATGTCGCCAACAAGGTCCTTAACCCCAGTTCTTCCAGGTACTGCCTGAAAAAGCTTTCTCAACTGTACGTCGCTTTGCTCCACAAAATAATAAATAAATACATGCCAAGGAGAAGTGCCACTTTGTAACTACAGCACATCAGCCATGTGTAAATCTCTCAAGACCCAACAGTAGCCAGTCAGCTAGATGGGGCAAACTGTGATGGTCTATTGAAAGACAAACGTTATACTAAAGCGTTCCTTGGCAGAATCTGTTGGCTGTACTCTTTGCAGACGGACTGACTGCCGAACAGAGAAACACAAAATTTTTTTTTGCAGAATGCAGAGAAGACGTCATGGAGGCATCACTCATCCTGTGTTTGTCACCCGGGAGGCTTAGGGTGGGAGGGGCCAGGTGACACAATGACTGAGGGGGACACGTCACACGTCACACGTCACACTCAGTTGGCACTGTTATTTTATTAGTATACTGAGACATAAACTTGTACTGGTATACAGACAATTCTTCTTTAAACAAATTTGTTCACAACCTGAATCAAATATTGTTTTATTATTCATAATAATGTAATAATTTCTAACTAGAAAACCTGCAAGCACCATCAAAGAAAAGGACCATAAAATCCAATAAACAGACTTCAGTGTATCCTACAAACAGACACACCACAATTAGAAAATAGAATTTCAATTCTTCCATTTTTTATATCTGTTCTTAAAAAAGCTAGTGCAAGTACAATATTTTACACAAATTACAGAGTTTGCACGCATTTGGAAACAAAACAAAGTTCTCTTTTCACAATAAAAGCTATGTCTGTATGCACTTTAAATGGTTTCTTCTTTATCTAATAAGGTGCAAAACGTTTTTCCCTCTTTCATGACCCATTGCTACTGGCCACATTTGCTTTTGTCATTCTGTCCAATGGCAAACAAAGAGACTAGAATTTGTCCTAATTTCTGTCCAATGGAAGGCAGAGAGGCTAGAATCAGTTCCCATTTCTGTCCAATGGCAAGCAAGGACAGTAGAACCAGTCTCCATTTCCGTCCAATGGCAAGCAAAGAGACTAGAATCAGTCACGATGTGTCCAATGGAAGACAATGACAATGCATATGTGTGCAACAGCATTGGACTACAGTATCTTCTTCACATTAAACCTTTACTTTCTGTGAAATGATCATGGCTTCCTGTATCAAAAATTACAATCTCTCTTTCACTGAATTAACTACACAAAAGGGAAAAAGAATCATTCCAAAAGTACAGGAAATGCGTGCACATTAGTTATAACTTAAACCCCCCACAACACCAGGTGAGATGGTAAGACAAATCAGATTAAGATATAAATGTGTGATTGTATTTCACTAATCTGTCACAAGGGGGCAATCCAAATGTACTATGTACTGTAGCATTCCAATAAAAATAGAAATGTGGGCCATTTTGTGTTGATAAAAGCACTTATCTGTAGAGTGGCAATAATTTTGTGTTTTGTGTGTAAAGAATATTCACCCATTTGTATTAGATATGTCAATATCTTACTCTTTAAAGAAATGTGTTCAGAAAAATCTGAAATATAATTAAATATTAAAGTGATTCACTCCTAGATTAGCTGCTGATTGCCGTTATGGGGGAGGGTTGGCTTTTATAATTGGTCTTGAGTCCTTCAGATTGCAGTTTTAATGTGAAATAAAAGGTGGGGAGTTTATCGCAAATATATCCCAACTAGACGGGGAGTACAAACAACACATTGCTTCAAATGTTTGAACTGTTCTGTCATTTTAGATAAGGGGGCTTCGGTAAATGTTAGAGGCCACATACAAAGGGTTCAGCACTGCAGGATTCTCATTTTAGGACACTATTGGATGATATATATATATATTTAAGTGACATTGGGTGTTTTGCAGCTGTTAATCTTAGATATTGTCTATAAGTTTGGCTTTGGTCAGCACCAACAAACAGTCTCATATTTTATATATGTCTGATAGACTGGGACGATGAACAGACCATTAGCTATCCTACTAGCTACGAGCTAAACGTCACCGTAAACGGGCTTCACCGAAGACCTTAAGGGGAAGGGGAGAAAAAAAATGGCCCCCATCCTTAAGGGAAAAAGTGCCTCGATAACAGTCTGTTAAGTAACCCCCCCCCCCAAAAAAAAGGAGAGAGGGTGCTGATGCGGGAGCAGAAAGAAACTAAGGAAAACAGCATGGGGGGGGAACGTCATCCACAGCCTCAAAGGTGATTGGCTATTCAAATATCACATGATCAACGGGGTTTTAATTTAATTGAATTGCGTTACGTCTTTATTCTGTAAGGATGCACCATATCCTGTTTCCAGCATCAGTAAAATCTATTCATACTAAGAGTAATAATAGTAGTACTAGTAGTAGCAGTAATAATAATAATAATAATTCATACATAAATTAAAGAGCCCACCAACCATAATCATGGAAAGAAAACCACACAGTGGGCCTATCAAAGGAACTCAGCCTGAGAGCAGATTGCGGCAGTTTGCCAAGACGTCAACAACAGTCACGTAGAACAGAGAAGTCCTGATTGATTAGTATTCGCTTTAAATTGGGTGCCAAATTCGTTACCAGACACCAAACTAGTTCAACAAACATGCCTCTTCCCCTCCAAATACTGAAGCTCACATTGACATTCAACATTTCGTCTGTGCAATTGAAAAAAAGAAAACGACAAACGATCTTGTTACCTGTATTGCTCAAACAACAGTGCTCTGAAATAGCCCTCGGGGCCAAACATGTGACTTCGAAATGTGAGACAGGTATGAGACAGAAAACAATGTGAGAGAGAGAGAGGCAAAGTGGAAAATGAAGGATCCTGCCAGAAAGGTAGCATGTTTGATGTGAGGTCTGTTAAAAGGAAACACATCAAAACACAAAAGAGAGAGAGGGTCTCTACCCGGCTTTAAGCTGGGGTACTAGATTGGTTAGAACAGCAGGATGACGGGCCAAGAGGAGAAGCACCACCCTATCACAGTGGGCAGGCCACGCCCTTCAGACCACTCCCCTCAGACTGGCCACACCCCTCCATCTCTCTTTCACTCACTGTTAGACCCGGGAAAGACTTGACCCTACAAAAAGCAGACAAGGTTTTTCTCAAGTTCCAAAGTGCAGAAACAGTATTATCAAACTTACACTATAAACTATTAAATGTGCATTTTGTTTATTTTTTTTTTAACCATGTGGTCCCCACTATACAAGGTCATTGCCGTTATCGCTTTAATCAGTCTCTTGGCTGTAAATGTGGCCTTCGGACAGGTGGCAGGGGAGCCAGTCAGGTTGGGCTTCAGCCCTTTGCCCCACTGATGTGTGTGGGGGGGGGGACTTGATGCGTGCGTCACAGGGAGTGGCGTTTCCGGGTTTTCTCTCAAGTTCAGAGGGACGTGAGTGTGACCTCTTCTCGGGGCATTGAAAGTGCTGCTTCTGGTAACATCAGTGTACCTCACACACACTGCCCCCCCCCCCCCACACACACACACACACTCACACACAAGCCCTATCCCTGAGTAAGAGCTATGAAAAGCCTGTAATAAGGAGGGCAAATGATGTCACTTGCAACAAATAATTAGGAAAAAGGTAACATACACTACTTTGAAATTGTCAAAGGGTTATTCGCAGTAACGGGAAATTTGGGAACGTTTCCTAGATTTGAATTTATACAGCAAAGGCTTACGGATGCACATGCATATTTAGCGCGGTAAGAGAACTCTGTCTCTCAAGGGGGACAGGAAAGCTGTATCCAAGGAGACCCACCAGTGACATCATCTGCCAGCTCCAGTATCACCAGGGCCAACAGGGACACCCTCTCCAATCCGCCCCCCACCACCACTATGTCACCCCACGAAACGGCTGGTTGGACACGAGACATTATGAGGGCACTGAAGACAGTGGGCATATGGAGAGAGTTCAAGGTTCGAGGGCAGGCTGGGTCATTTGGATGTGGTGTGGAGACGTGCATCTCCCCAACTGGGTTCAGTGGTCCATGTTGGACCTTGTCCAGTCTGAAGTGTGATTTCTGGAGGATGGGGGGGGGGGGGTCGGACCGACAGGAGAAGCAGACATGGATGACGCTGCTACGCTGCAGTCTGTGTTGGCACGACAACAGGGAGACAGAAATAACAGGAACTGCACATACATCAGCGACGGCACGCAGGGCTAAGCCCTGCCTAGAGCTAGAGGCTTGAAAAACTCTGTGTTTTCAGGAATTTAAAAGAAAAATAACACTCTGCAGTCACTTCCCCCATTACAGTCACATTCCAGCCAGTTACTAATCCCAACATTCACCTTCACATGCTTATTGCCGTTTGCCATCATCCCTCTGTGACCTACGCTGTAGTGGGGGTGAGAGGGCGGGGCCTACGATGGCTCAGAGGTCTGCCGGAGGTGTGCCACAGATCAGCTCTGAACTTGACTAAGACCAGGCCGTTTCCTAGTGGAAGGCTGTGGGGGAAGGGGGGGCGGGGAGGGGGGTTTCCACGGTGATCTCTCACCAGCCAATGGCAACTGAGAGTATACAGGTGGCCAACCACAAGCCGTCTACCACACAGAGCTGACTGGAGTGGGTGGGGCTTATGAGGTCAGCTACAATCGCATAATCTACGTAAGACTGTCACTGCATATATGTTTTCATCAAAGTTCCCTGAAGTTGCTAACAGAAGGCCATATTGCTGCTAATATAAGGGAAAGTGTGACAAAGAATGCTGTAACATAGGCTGAAGGACATGGGGCTTTTTCTGGGTGTGGGGGGAGGGGACCAAGCCAGACTGCTTGAAGCAGGATACAGGTGTCTGCGTCAGAAGGCTTTGAAGAGCATCTAGCGTGCGCCGGCATGGACTTCCTGAACGACTAACAAGGCATTAACACAAAAAAAAGCCCGACGTTTGGGCCCCCCCCCCAGACATGCCACGGTCCGATCATCTGTCACTCTGATATCAACACGAAGGGGGGGCAACATCACTGCCACCCATCTATGCTCATACATCAAAACAAAAGAAACAAAAGCAAAAAAACTGGCTTTCTAACTTTGTGCATAACATCCCCGTCTGGCCCGCAGGCTGTCCTGTGTCTCTCCTCAATACGGAGGAAACAAAAAATAAAAATATAATAAAGAAAAAGTTATTCCCGCGAAGAACGCTGCCCCAGTTGTCCATGTCTACAGAAGACAGGAACAATAAACAATCCACCGCGAGTCATGCAACCCTGTTTTATTACACGTATTTAAAAAGAATTATTATAATTTTAATTCAAAGCATTATACATGGCTGTGGATACCAGCTACCCTCGCCCCCACATGCAGCCAATCAGAAGGCTGATGGGTGTGGCCAGAGCGTCGAATGGGAGAGATACGCGTGCCTGGGGGCGGGGCTGCCAGCTCAGGGCGGTGCTACATTGCGCTAATTGGAGCGTCAGCTGGCGGGAGGCATCCAGACTGAACAGGTATATTACTAACCCTCTGCATGTGCAAATTGCAAGTTACAATTTCTTTTCTTTTGAAAGTTGAACATTAAATAAAAGGAAAACACTGGACAAAATGGGTACACACAGACACACAAATGTACTGTATATATACATTTTCGTATGTATGCAAACAAAAAAATATTCTTCCGTTACTGGGTATCTAACCACCTGTAAATGTGTGTATTTAACAAATATATATACATACAAGAATGAGCATTAGCACGTATCTGTGTGTCTGTGTGCTTCTCACGCACACTCACACTTTCTGTGACGTTTTATCACACACATGACCACACTTGGGTCAGCACTCATAGAGGACCTCTCTTCACATCAGGACACGGGCTTATATTGCTATTCTCTGGCCTACCATTCGCTCTTTAAGCTACTGGCTCCGCCCAATTCTCCGCCCCTCACTGAGACTGGCTCCACCTCCCTTCCCCAGCGCCGACGCCCTCAAGTGAGCCCATGACCACATACAGTACTGCTTGGAGGTCGAGGATGGCTAGAGACATCATCAGGTAATGCTAAGCGCTAGAGCAAAGGAACACCCATCTCCCTGAGGCTGGATCAGACACTCAGCCATGACACCTCCTCCCTCCCGTCATGCTGGGCACGCTGCTGCGGGGGTGCGTGTTTTCATGTTTACCAACACGTCGCCGCGAATGTATCGCCACCCGCCCTCATCATGAGCCAGACACTGCGAGAGTCTACAGGCTTCACGCCATGGTGTGGTGTCGATGACACTCATCATGACAAAAATCTGACTGGGGGGGACACGTGGGATAACCGGAGAGAGGGGGTGTGGTACACACAGGAAAAAAAAAAAACAATAGCTAAAGTACATTCTGCTTAGAAATATATAACATAACAGAGTCCATCTCAATCAAGGTGTCAGAGGTTAATTGGCGCTCTTTAATGACATCACCTAACTTGATCTTCTAATGCAAGGATAAAGCATGCACCTACCCTGTCTGACCAACAGGGGGCAGCAAGGGGACAGAGCAGCGTTTTCTGACCAGCCTGTCGTACAAGGTCCCAAAAACAAAATAAGCCAATGTCCAGTCCTTATACATATATATATAAAATTATTATATATAATTTAATATATAAAATTATTGCCGCTGGCATTTATGCAATTTTCTGCATATATTGTGTAAGGCGTTTTAACAATATATGTAATTTTACACTATAATATATGCACACAAATATAAATATTTTGCCATCATATTTTACAGTCTCTGCTAGGCTATTGTGTTACAACACGCTACTGTATCATAGAGTGGGACTCTTGCCCCAGGTCATGTGTCTAAGTGCTCTGAGTGAAGAGGGCCTGTGGCCTAGTGGGGGGACATGAGGGGGATCCTTGCCGGCATCCATCCCGGCCCTCCAGGAAGGACCTTCACAACCAGAACAAAACAGCAGTGTTTCCCAGTCTGGTCCTCAGGGGAGCTGGGAGGGAGCAAAATCGTGGACTGTCTGTGGGCCCCCGAGGACCGGGCTGGGAAACACTGCGATTAAGGATTCAGCAGGCAGAACTGCATGCGTCTGGGGCTCCCCAGTGCCTCCAGGGCAGTAGCACCCAGCTCTGGGTGCATCCATCTTAAGGGGTGCCCTAATCACCCCCCACCCCACCCCAGCCCACCCCAGGGTATGATGTCAGCCCGAAAAATGTGCAAACTCAAAGTACTTGTCTTCAGTGTGCTTCTGGCGTTACACAGACGCCATGTCTCAATCCAAGGTCCGTTTCAAAGTCAAACACAAAGCTACTGTAAACATATTGCACACGAACGTCACTAACACCACCAGGCCTACGTCCCTTTGAAGTGACTTTCTCATGCCGGTGTCAGACTGTCACCGTGCATCTAAACCCACTGAGGTTAGGTCCGCTTCCACCCCAGTCAATCCGCAGTGGCTTTCGAAGGCAGGACCACGGTAAGAAGAGGGTCATTCTGGGCTCCTCTTCCCGGCGTGCCTCGCGTCCTGACAGCTCCAGCCCAATGTAAAGCTGACCCTACGCTCGCTTTCTCCGAGGCCCCTTATCGCCTCTGTATGAGCTCGACAAACAGGTACGAAAACCTATAAGACTTTAAAAACAAAAGGAACAGTGAACAACCAATCAGAAACTCCGAATGCCACGTGCTGGATGATGGACATCACGGTAAGCCACACCCTGCTTTGTTATCGAGGGTGTGACCCGCCCCTGTCATCCCTGCGTTCACGCGGCCTTCCGTCTCGACTGGGGTTGCAGAGACGCTACTCGTGGGCTGAACCAACATCGCACCTCCCCCGTTTCCTGAACTGCTGGGCTGCATGGCGTCCTCGCCCCTACATTCAGATGGGTCAACCCACCAAAGGGTTTTAAGGGAGGCAAAGCACCCGCACAGCGAGCCCCTCGGGTCAGCATGCCACACCCACTCATGCCCTCCATGCCTGCTTGACACGTAGGGGCCCATTAACACATCATTGCACAATTTTTGCTTGTAAATTACCCAGAATGCCTATTACAATTATAACTACATCCACCATTAATAAGATGATGAAGTGAATTCTGGGTAATTTCAGCCCAAGGTAAAGAAACCTGGATAGATAACAAAAAAGAAAAAAAAACAACCAAAAAAAAATATATCATGGTAAATTTCAATAACATCGACCCTCGTGTCCTACGAACCCTCACTTGCCTATATTTGACCTGCCTTCAATGCTAATTTTAACCTCCTGAGGAATGAAAGAGGGTCTGGGCAGAGTCGAGGGCAATTCGTCGTCAGTTTTCTCCACCTTGCGGCTCTCTGGGGCAGACCACCTCCGTTTGCGGCCAGCCGGTCTGCCGGTGCTGCTGGCCTCCATTTTAGGGCGCGAGGGGCCATCCACAGATTTCCCTTCAAAGTTCACGTCCCCATTGGTGGGTGTGGGCTGCTGGCTGGAGGGGCCACCGGTGCCCCCCACCCGCTGGCCCAGTCCATTCTCCTGCTCGCCGTGATACCCTCCCCGGCCCCCGTCGGGCCCCGCCTCCTTGGGGGGCTTCAGCAGGAGCCCGATGCATCCGGTGCTATCCGGCTCCTGCCCTTTCCTCAGGGAGCCGTTCTTCAGGTTCTTCAGGGTCAGCGAAACACAAACGTCCCCCACGGACAGCTTAGCACACGGCAGCTCCAGCAGCTGGGTGGTCCGCTCCGGGCAGCAGGATGACCAGCCTTGGCCGAAAACGAAGAAAGGATACTCCAAGAGGACCTCCACGCTCACCTGCCAGAAAGAGGGAAGGGGGGGGGGGGTCACTCGTCAGAACCAGCACAACATTGCCTTGGGGGGGGGCAGTAACCCCTCCCCAACACGGTGAAGCTAGCTCACATTCTGGGTCACCTCTGATTACAGTCTTACCATGTGAATGGTACTTGTCTGTGATTAAGGCTGATCAAGCCTCTGACTGCATTCAGACACACATTAGCATACTGTTCTGCACTTTCAAGGAGATAAAATCTAAAGATCCATTAATCCATCCATCTATGATTTATAACTTTTACTTTTTTAATCACTTAACACATCATCAGGCTTAATTATGGTTTGGTAATTGGTGACCTGATTAATAACTAATTACGTAATCATTTCTATAAGCAAAACAGCAGGGTTGCAGGGGTCCTCCTACTCTGATTGGTGATTCGGGAAAGTCGAGTGAGCCTGTGGCCCTTCCTGTTAGTCAGGGTGCCCAGTCTGTTACCATGTGGCCAGAGGAATGGGTGGTTTGTCAGAGTGACTGCTGCTTTAAGGGATACAGAACCATCGGCGTCATCCTAAAGGTTTCACTGGGCAGTTTGGTGACCATTCAGTGTTTAGTAGGTGTTCCCCCTGGGTCCTTTCTGGGTCCAATCATGCTAGTTACAGGAAACCCAAAAAGCAAGACAACTAAAGGACCAGGAGCATTCCTCAATGTTCTCAATGTCCTCCACAGTCTAAGTTCATACAAGAATCAACAGCTGACTGTGAATTAAGACGACAAAGGCGGCAGATGGGGAAACCTTTCATCCTGACAACAGGTATGCATCTGGGGGTGTGTTTCACAGCCACTGGACAGAGCCTTGCTTTTCCCCATCCTAAATGATTCTTTGTTACTGCACATATTTGAGGTTTCAAGACTATATGAGTACTAGCAGTATGTTAATGTCAAAATTTTGGCCGATTTCAATATTACCAATACCGATAACCAATACTGAAAACCAGCTAACCTCTGAGTTTCACAAATCTGTAGTGAAACTGATGGCGGTGACATTACTTTTTAAGATCCCGTGAATGTGTGTAGTAAAGACATGATATAATGCCGGCAGTGAGACATCAGTGAAGTACTGCAAACTGTAGCGAGGTTCTAAGTGGTGAATGAACCAACAAAATCCCCCATCTTGTTGCTGATAACTTATGAATGAATATTGCCTAAAGTCTAAATATCAGGCAGCAAGACTGACACTTCAGACCGATGCCAATGTCTTGATTTTCATGGAACATGGACTGATGCAAATCTATGCATCTCTACTCAGTACTTTCTCGAATGAACAGGCCCTAAATGTGAAACAGCCCAACTGAAACAACAGAGAAACCCCCTTGGAAGGATTAAAACAGAGTATGCCACCTGAGGGGAAATGGCAAGGTTCTGGGTGAAGGATGCCACAACAGCTGGGACCAGGCCAACCAACTCACTGATGCCATAGTGTGTTACAAGGCGAGTTCTCGAGTCACGCACCAACTGCAAAAAGGCTAGCATGAGCCTCAGAACTGGCCTTCAGGTCGATATTTGGTGGGTTATTGCATCTGTTCGGTAAGAAACGACTGAAACACAAATAACAAAGAACTGTGACTGTAACAATTGGACGGTAATTGAAATAAGCTTTCGGTACATTCTGTACATCAACAAAAAGCTGCAGGGATTCATCTCAATGCCCACAAACACCTCCGCTAATTTCCCATACAATCTGCTTGCAATTTTAATCAATTTAAGTGGCGTCTTGCTCTGACCCGATACAATTTCACTGGAGCTGCTCAGGAGCCGTAACTAAGCTGGTTATTAACGAGCTGTGTTTGTACGGAGACCCCGAGGATAAGAAACAAGATGCAGGCGAAATGCAATGGCGCACGGGAGCCCTGCAAGCTCATGCCTCTCTGTTTTTCTGGAGTAAAGCTGCTGGACTTAATCCCGTTTTCTGAGAGGATGATTTGGGGAGGCAAGTGGCTTCACAAATGGGGCTGCCCGCCGGGACAGCTACAGTAAGTGAACTACACTAAAGTGAAATAGAAAAACACTGCACTTTGCAGACAGAGAAGGAAGCATGCAGAGTAACATGTAAATGAATCAGCATTCCCCTGAACATCTGGATAAGTAATGAATTAACTAACCTTAACGTTCCACATTAAGCATCCAGCTAATTAAACCCAGGTTCCACTGTTGAAACACCACCTAAAATAACAGCTACTTCAACATTTAGCATGCTAACGGTATTACATGTGTGTACAGGCACACGGATCCCACCTGTGTGCGCTGCTCCCCCACAGCAAACTGTATGATGGCAAAGTTGGGCGCCTGGCTGCCATCGATGCGCTCCACGGTGCTCGAGTCGATCTTCAATTCACTGCTGATTTCAGCGCTCTGGATGAAGTCCTCCGTCTTCAGCTCCTCCACGCGCTTCAGTGCACCGTCTGCCAACTGGATGATGGAGCCCTTCACGAAGTAGGGGGGCAGCGAGGGCAAGGACGGGACAGGCGGCGAGGCCGGGATCAGGGGCAGGTGCAGCTGGGTCTGTACAGCGGCAGTGGTGGCCGCAGCAGTCGCGTGATACGCTGCTTCCAGACGCTCGCATTTGGGTGGCGCTGCAGCCACAAGGGCGTGCGGGGCGTGCGTGAATTGCTGGGAGGCCGTGACCGAGGCCTGCCCCATCTCCGATCCTACCCCCCGGCCACCGCTGACGGGGATGATGATAGGCTGGCCTCCGGGGATGAGCAGGTGCTGAGGCAGGTTGGTGTGGTAGCTGGTGGCTTGCTGCTGCTGGCCGCTGCCGGCGGTGATGTACCCGATGATGGGCGGCTGTACGGGGGCTGGGTAGAAACCGGAAGAGGGGAGGCCCAGCGAGAGCTGATCGGCGGCGCCGTGGCTTGTCTGGATGACTGTGTGGGGCGTTTTTGACCCCGGGGATGGGAAGTTGAGGCTGGTTGATGATGTTCGGGAGACAGGCCGGCCAAGGCAGAGCCCACCTTTGTCAACCGGCTTCTCCTGGCCCCTCCCTGGGTCGGCGCCGGCATGGCTGTTGGGCAATAGCATCAGCGAGGTCCGGAGACCTGAGGTGTCCTGCGTGTAGTCTGTCGGGAGCACAATGTGCCGGGCCTCATAGTGCTGATGCTGGCTGGCGGAGCCCTTGGCCCCGGACCCCTGCTTGGCCAGGATGGAGCCAGGCGACATGCCATAGCACCGACCCTTCTCTAGCTCCCCGTTAAGCACCTCCCTAGGCCGGCCGTCCTCCTTCTTGTTGGTGAGCCCATCAGCGTACTGGACCACAACCTGCGAAGAGGCGCCGAGGGCCAGGGCCTGAGGGACCACAGGGTGGGAGTGGAGGTGTAGCGGGAAGGGAGCCTGTGGAGACGAAACCGCCCGCGGCGAGCCAGTCAGCTGCACATACTGGGACGGGTGAGAAGGCAGGGGGGAACTATCTCGGCCGGGGGAAGGGTGGTGTCCCTGTGGCTCGGCCTTGATGGCCTGTGTGACACCATAAGCGTCCAGCAGAGGTCGCTGCTGAGTCGAGGCCGTTGCGGGGGAGACAAGCTGGGAGGGGACGTAGCCCGCATAGGGGGCACCATAGGGAGGTCCGATGAGGTGTAGGCCAGGCTGCAACTGGGCGTACTGGATGGTCCCGCCAGGCTGCGACATGGTGGGTGGGTAGGCTGCTGCGAGAGGTGTCGCCGCTGGCCCCGGAGTGGGAGCCCTGGACTGGCGGGAGGACGACATGCAGGGCAGTTTGCTCTGGGGCCCGTCAGCCTCGGCGGGGGTACCAGACCGCTGCCTGCCCCCTTCTTGGCCACTGGCCACGCTGGCGAGCCAGGCCAGGTTTTCTGCTCGCTGGAGCTCGACGGCCGGGGTAACCAGCACCGGCTTCTCCTGCATAAGCAGGGTGCTGGTTTGGATCTCCCGCTTCTTTGGGGGCAGGCACTCATTGCTCCGTTCCTGGTTCGACTTCATGCTGGTCTCCTGCCCTCTTCCCTTAATGAAGACTCCAAGCTGCTGTTCTTCTTGCTGTCTTTCTATCCGTGCGTTTTTTTTTCCCAAGGTGGGGTTTACCCACCCACAGGCTGGGGCGGGGGGGTAGGGGGGTGGAGGGGGGCTCCTGTGCCACTCTCTCAGCGACAGATGGGCACGGTCCTCAGCGGAAGGCGCAGGAGATCACGCCTGCTGTCAGAAGGTGATCCGCCGACTTCACAAGGGATCATTTCCCTGGGAGCGCAAGCCTCCAGGGCAGCCACACGGATCTGCGAAGAGGAAATATAAGATGAGGATGAGACAGGTGCAACTCACTGACACCAGCAGGGGGCGCAGCGATTAATGGACATTAGCAAACTGTAGAATCTAATCCCAGGGAAGATGTTAATGTACCATATAGGAATGCAGAGAAAGCACAGTGTCGTTACAGCAGGCAGGCGTGGGGGAGGTGGTACTGTCCCCGGAGGGGGCGTGTCTGTCTCCCGTGCAGTGACATGCAGCCTTCCCTCACACCATCTGCACACGCTCCGTGTTCACAGCGTGAGAGCCAACCCCCTGCTGAGGGAATGAGAGCAGAGCCAGCTTCAGCGAGACTAGATGCGTCATTGGGCCTACAGCCGCCATGTGACACACGGCGTGCACACAGGGGGCGCCGATCCAGCACGCAGCGGGACACGGCAGAACCAGGACCAATACCGGGCCACCTGGCAGGGGAGAGCCGACTCCTCAGGGGGGGCACCGTCAGCCTTAGCGACAGGGGGACAGGAACTGACACTGTACATGCAGGTGACTCTGATGGGGGGGGCAGCAGGAGGCAGGTGGCAGAGATGCACTGTATAAACAGGACGCCGTGACTGTGCCCCCCCTCACCACAGCTATCAAACAGCCAGCTACCTGCTCAGATTTAAACTCTCAACAATTAGACAAGTGGGCCTTTTCTTTGTCCATAATTACAAAATACAACCCCCCCCCCCCCCCCCCCACCTGATAAGTCCTGCTAACCCAGCCGAAAACCCCAACACACCCTAAAATAATAGCAGCATCCATGAGCCGTCACAGTGATCTCAGTGCCGTCCTCAGCTGCATCTCTCAGGATTAAGGGCTGCAGTGTCTACACACAGCCAGGGACACACAAGACAGACACCTAAAGCTCCCCCCCCACCCCCTGGGCAGAGCGTGGGGAGGAGGACCATGTAATGCTTCACAGCTGGGGTACTCCTGGCCAATGAGAAATGAGACAGTCAGTCAACAGAGCTAGTGATTGGACAGGAGGATAAAGGCACCCCCCTCCCCTCCCCTCTCTCTCTCTCTCTCTCTCACTCACACACACACACACACACACACACACAC